TTGTGCAAAACAGAACTGTCGTACAACTTAAGATTTTTTTTTTTTCTCCTGAGCCCTAAGGTGTAAACAAACCCAACAATTACCGTGTAACGTTTGTAATGGAAACAGCAGCATTACGTTGTTTATTGAGAAGCCTGTGAGGCTCAATCCTTAATCCCTCATGCAGCAGGGCAGGTTTCTCATGAATCCGGTTTTATGCTGTAAATGTGTACCAGACCCCTCTTCCCATTGGTAACTCTCAGCATGGACCACTGATCCTCTGTAGCCCCTGAGCAGTGGCTCATGGTCTGGTGTTGGAACACTTGCACTGATCGTTTTGGGGGGAAAGAACTTTCCTACCAAAGAGTTGCAATTACTGCTACTGTAATTAGAGTTGAACTCAAGTGCCTTACTGGGGAAAGACAGGTTTGGTTCTGAGCTTTGCTGGTTTGTCTTGTTGAATCAAAAGTGTAGTAACTGGTATCTTTTAATCCATGAGCTGAGTGTGTATTCAGCATGTATGAGTGCATATAACTAGGTCTTGTAACGCACGTGAAAAGAAGGTGCTGTGTCAAAACCACTTTCAAGTGATTTAACTGCTTTGTTAGCTAGGGGCCTTTAAATGATTAAGGAGAGAAAACTAATTAAATTAGATGAACCTACCAGTTTCGCACTCTTTAAGACAACACAAGGAAGAATGGAAAAGTTTTGGTTGTGGGAAGAAGAAAGTAGATTCTTCAAAATTTGCTGCATGACTTTCAGTTTCCTGGAATTACTCTTCAGCTGGATCGTTGCGTGGGGACTTTCCAGAGGAAAGTCACACTCTCACGCTCATTGGGACATACTGAAATGAAAATGGCTTCAGGAACAAGTTAAATATTTTGAAGTTATTCTCAACAACACCCTCAGTACTTCTCTCACTCCCTTTGTCCACAGAACATGGTTCGGTTTTCTCTTTATTTTATGCATAATGTTTTGTCCTAAGGTGAATTGATAGTACTGATAACTCTTTTCCTCTGCTTCATTTCAAAGTATTTGGCTTTGTTTTTTTGTTACTGCTAAGAAACCCAACAGACCTGCACTCACAGCATAACAAATCCCTCAAATCATAGATTTTTCTAATGATCTTCCCGTTTCTGCATGGCAGTAGAACTTTAAAAATGTATATTGCCTGACTTGGGATACCTTCTATATTTCAGTATCAAGTGAATTTGAAAATTAAGTGTTTAAAAAAAAAAAAAAAAAAGTAGTTTTAAGCACTGACTTAATGAAGTGACAGAGGAGAAGGTTTTTTCAAGGAAGTATTTTTCCTTGAAAGATTAAGCTTTAAGACAAAAAACTATGCTGAATTTTTAAGGCTAGGCCTAACGCTGTTTTTCTGGTAATTTGTTTTTTTCACATGGACTTCTGGAATTTTCCAGACTAACAGACCTACCACTGCTCAGCTGCAACTGCCAGCATTCTGTGTCGATGCTTAATTTCATAGGAGTTCTTGTTTCAGAAAACGGATCTTCCTGCCAGCCAATTGTTAGTTACCTTTGTGTTAGGGAATAAGCATAAATTTCAAGGTTTAATTTTTTCAGAATGCATCTAGATGTTTGTGGTGCAAAAATTGAACTGAGACAGTGTCTCCAAAATTACTGAACCACTTCTGTTGTTGCTCTGTAATCTGTTGGTTTACATAGTCTGAGTTTTAGAAAAATCTGCTTACAAAAAACAGGTAACTTGGGCTGCCTGTGAGAAAGATTGTAAGCACTTAAATACTTGTATCTTAGCCCAAAGGGAGGGTGACCTGTGGAGTAATTGTGTTCCGGCTATCCCTATCAGAGAATGTCTTGCTCTTTTGGGTCTGCAGTCAATAGGCTCTTTGTTTTGAAGAGATGCTTTGTGAGTCTGTCTCAACCACTATTTTATTTTAAAATACCTTCTAGAAACAAGACTTTGGGCTTTTGTTTCTCCACAGAAAATGTGTGATACGCCCTTCTGGTTTTTGTTCTGCTACTAAAGTTTTAAAAAAAGCTATATTAAAGAAAGTAAATTTTATTTTGGGGCCCACAGCTTTTCCTCCAAAATGTGAAATATAAAATGGTACGAAGAGAGAAACTTTGGGGTTGTCATAAGCTTTTTGTTACAATCCTCTTTTCTAGATAATAGTAGAGTTTTTAGAAATATCTTGGTTGAATGTAAGAAATACTTTGTTTAGAATCACTTATGTGCTTAATTTTGCTGTTTTCTTCCTTTATGTTTTGACTTACTCTATTTCTCAAGTTTAATTTAAAGTGCTCAGATACTAAGAGGACAGTGTAATTGCAAAATTAGACTGGTTCTCTGAATTTGTCAAAAAACCCCAGACCCTTGGTGGGAATTAATTTAAAGTACGTTCTTCATGAAAATAAAAATGAAGGGCTTTGCAGCTGTATGTTGGTAAGGAAAGAACATGCTCTGATGGAATGAGGATCCCATAACCATGTGATTATTCTTGCAAGTGCTTGTCCACTTTGACTCAAAAGTCTTAATTAGAATGTGGCGATATGAGCTGCTATCAACCTGGGCTGTGATCTGCTCTGTGTTCGCTCCGGAGCTGGGCGGCGCGGGGAGCTGTACAAGTTTACATCCTGAAACAGTTCTGCAGTTAGGGTTTTTCTGTGAGCAGTGAGATACGGTCTTGGGTCTCTCAAGAAGTCCACATCAAATCCCATTTGTAAGTAAAAAAATAAATCACTTAAATGAGCCTTTACTGGGGTTTAAATGCTGGTGTCAGGCTGTGAGCCGTGACATCAGTTCCGAGCAGCTTACAGCTATTCTCTTGCGATTAGAGAGGGACAGTTTGCCTTTGGAATCATTGCTGTTGGTGACTTACGTTGGATGTATTTATGCGGATGACAGCCCTGGAGAAGGGGTCTTGAACTGTTCCTGAGCTCAGGTCTAAATTTGTAAGGCTGGCATTCGCAGAGGAGTAGAATCACAGGAGGGTTTGGGTCGGAAGGGACCTTTACAGGCCATCTAGTGCAACCCCCTGCAGTGAGCTCAGAGCCCCGTCCAACCTCACCTTGAATGTTTCCAGGGATGGGGCTTCTCCCACCCCTCTGGGCCACCTGTGCCAGTGGTTCACCACCCTCGTTGTAAAAAACCTTCTTCCTAATATCTAGTCTAAATCTCGCCTCTTTTAGATTAAAATCATTACCCCTTGTCCTGTTGCTACAGGCCCTATTAAAAAGTTTGCCCCCATCATTCTTATAGGACTCCTTTAAGTACTGGCAGGTGCTATAAGGTCTCCCTGGAGTGTTCTCTTCTCCAGGCTGAACAAGCCCAACTCTCTCAACCTCTCTTCACAGGTGCTCCAGCCCCCAAAGAACTGCCTTCTTGTTCTGTAATTTAAGTTTTTACTAGCCTGTATGCTTTGGCAGTTTTAATCTGCTTTCAGAGCAGAAGCACACTCTGGCTGATGGGGTGATGGAGGGGGAAAAAAGAGGTTATCCTATTATATTTCTACTAAAACTTTCTAGAATTGCTTCGGAGAATCAATTTTATGAATTCTAAATGTCAGTGTCTGATTCTGAGTTCTGTTTAGCGCTGTATTAGGAGCGTGTGGTCGAGTAACACAGTCGTTAACTACTCCAGGGTCAATGTTGTGCTGCCCAAGTATTACAGTTTATAATGGACTTCCATTATTTAGTAATAAAAGACACTAAGTGGCTTCTATGGTACTGTCAAAGCGATTGCTGTATCTCTAAAGTAGGTTAAAAGTAGTGCACTACGTTTTTTATTCTTTATTCCTTATTACCTAGTGGGTTTGACTTCAGCAAACCTGGAAAACAGAATTGAAGATTGAATGCAAATATCTTGTTGCTGTTGTAGTTGGAACGTGCTTGTTTAAGCTCATGAGAACTACCTCGTGGTACCCAGTTTGATGGGGTTTCTGTTCACGCTCATCTTAAATGCTGTTGGTAGTCAGTACCAAGCATTCAAGGAAACCTTACTGAGGCTGGAAAAGAAATAAGTTGAAGCTGATAAAAGCAGGAAACGACGTTTCAGCATAAGAATACTGTGTTTTTAGACATGTCCCGGTAGTGTTGAAAAAGTTTTACTGCCTTATTTCCTGGATGAGTAGTAGAGAGGCATTAGTGGCATGGGGAGGAGAAAAGCAACGGTGCAGCTGTTCAGTGTGAAGCTGCTGAGCTCTGGAGCTCCCAGAGCGCTTCTGAAAGTAGATGGCTTGCCTGGGAAGAGATGCAGGATGCCCAGGAGTGATTCCGAGTGTTTGGCCTACAGGTGCTTCAAACCCTGCATCCTGCAGCACGTGACTTGATCTGTAGCGTTTCTGCGTGTTTTTCCTGTCTGATATTCGTATGGAGCAACCTTCTGTCAAAACACGGGAGGATGTTTCTCCTCCTATTACGTTACCTTGACAGTGCTGGTCGGCTTTTTTTGGGATGTTTCCTGCACTGAAGTCTCTGCGTGAGTCATAGAAAACATTCCTGATTTCACTTGTTTGGTTTTCTTTTTTCTCAGGAAGATGGTGTTGGGGGTGGGTTGTTTCTTTCCTTACTGGGGTTTGGTTTTTGGCACGGTGTATAAAACTTTGGTATTGCATGATTCCTTTTTAAAAATAAATGCTGTTACTCTTTTTTTTTTTTTTTTAATAGGTCCCTTGTAGTTGTCCACTTTTGGGCGCCATGGGCTCCTCAGTGCGCTCAGATGAACGAGGTGATGGCGGCACTGGCAAAGGAACACATGCAGGTTACGTTTGTGAAGGTAAGTCAGGCAGTTGAGCTTGTTTTCATCAGAGGGGAGCCGTTAGAACAAAGTAGGAGTAAAGGACTAGAAAATAGGGGTAAAGTTCGTTTTGAAGTTTCTTTATGTCTTCATGTTTAAAGATGCAAGTTGAAGAGGTGCAGCCAGAATGTGTGGAATGAAGATTCTAGGTTCCTCTTTCCAAGCTCGATAGCGCAAGCATAAATAACACCATTTTATTGTGCTGTTTAAAGGGAAAAAAAAAAAAATTAAACAAATCAGTCTGCTAAGATATGATGAAGGCTATTTTTCAGTAGCCACACCACCTAAGTGCTAGGCTTTTAAACTTCTCTGTGACTGCGGTGCCTCAGTCCTTCAGTTCTGTAGGTAGCCATAATTTTAAAGCATGATTTTTTTTATCCCTGGATTTGGGGTTAATTTGGCAACACCGTTCTTTTCAGGTGTGCTGGAGGTGTCATTTGTTCCCATGATGTTATTGGCTAGCTAAATAGATAGCAGAATTTGTGGAGATTTTGTCTGATACTAAAGAGGAACATAGTCTTCACAGCATTCATAGGAAGGTAAATTTAAGTCTGTGCAACGTTGACACTCTGAGATGACAGTCGTGTAGTGCTGGATGGTGTAAACACGAGTGAGATGCTGTATTTTTGAGATTGCACCTCCTAGTAAGAAGCAGTGTGGAGAGGAAGATGAATGTACTTCATTAACATGCCGTTCGTTTTAAACCAACTTTCTCTTGTTAATGAGATGCTTCTGTGATTATGAGGGCAGGGAGTAATGGAGCAGCCAGCTGTGTGTGAGTATTTTAATTTGATTTCTTACAGCTTTTAGGTTTTGTGTGTTTTTTAATGATTCTTCTCTCAGTTGGTATTTCTCTGTAAAACAGGAGGACAGAACTATTTTAATGGTAGCATTTATTACTTGGAGCTTCAAAAGACTAATTTTCAACATCTTGAAAATTCAAGATGCGCAAATTTATGTAGAGTTGCTATAGCTTTTAGTAGTCCCAGGGAAGTTTGAGAACTCTGTTGCATCTCTATTCATATATTATTAATTTATAACCCTTATTATTTAGCTGTAATTTATTTTTTAATAACAAGGTTCTGAAGTGATTAAGTGTTGCAAAACTAAGATAATGGCACCTCCTTCCCCCCAGTGTTACTGGCATACTTGTTTAGGGAAAATAAGCTACTGAAAGACTTGGATGAATTTTCTTGATGTGTTTTTTTGGTATGTGGGGGGAATGTATTTGATTTTGGAAGATTTGTGGGATTTTGGTCTGTTCCTGACTAACCAGTCTGCCTTTTAATTGGCACGAACCTTTTAACTCATCAGATGGTTAGAGGTGACTGACTGAGACAGCGTGTCCCTTTCCAAATCCTAAACCCTCACCGTCTAGAGCAGAGCTCATAATAATGAAATAAACTTTAAAACTGTCAATAAATCTTTCTAAATGCAGTTTCTTGGTGTAGTTGTTGCACAGCTCCTAACTCCCAAGTTCCTTGGCTTGGTTAAAGTGAAAGTCTGTCTCTATCCAGAAATAGTTAGAAACAGTGTTTGGGAAGATTGTACCAGTAAGAGCAAGTTACTGAAATGGGAAATCAAATCTGTTCGATATGTGCGACCCTCCGAGTGGAATGCAGGGATCCAAGTGGGTAGGAAGTTTTACTGGAAAAGAAAACTAATATTACAGGTAAAAGTCACTGAATCATTTGCCACTTGAAAGAGAATAGATTGTTGGAATCCATGTACAGCTTTCAGTCAGAGCTTTAGTTTCGCAGTTGATGCTGCTGGAGCATGGATTTACAGAGGTAGGGGTGGAGCTTGGACTCTGTTTTGACTTACCCTACTGCGTCGCTTCTGTATTTAGTGAGTTCATTAACAGCTGGAGAGTATCAAACCATGCTGCAATACTGGAATATTCAGAGCTTCACTACATTTCACTTAAAAAATACTGTGATTCTTCTATTAAAATACCTGAGGATGGACAGGGGTAGGCAGGAGCAAACTGTAATGTCTCGCTCCTTGTTCACGAAGAGTCCATTGTTAATTCGGGAGGTTTTTTCTTCACACTGGATTGCAGGTTTCTGTTTGAATTCTCATCTATTGCCACTTCTTTAACCATTAACTGCAGCTGTTACAGAGCTGGTGTCAAACAGCCTTGTGCCAGCTCTTCTGTCACGCAGGTAAGCTTTTAGTCTATGCGCAGGCAATCACAAATTTGAGTTAATTAGAATATATTTTCTTGGCAGATCACTACATCATAGAACTTCAAGGTGTGCCTTTGCTGACTAAAACTCGAACCAATAATCTCACCATCTTGCCACTCAGTAGCCTTGCAGGAGTTAAAAATAAAATTTAGTAGACATCAATGGCTTATTGAAGAAACACTCCTGTTTTTCTTCATAATTTGCAGAAGGCTGCAAATGTCAGTCATGATGTACTGCCCCTTGAAATTAGTCAATAGAGCAAACAGCAAGAATTGCTGTGGGCAGAAAGTAAGCACTGTAATCATGACATAACTGGGGTCAATGATTTATGGATTTCAATATAGTAGTAGCTGCATATGATTGAAAATTTACTAGGTCACTAGTGCACCAAAAATTTTATTCACAGCCTCCGGGCATCTTCTGAAATGTGCAACAAAATAAAAACCTCTGAACCTGTTTTGACACTCTGTAGGCTCAGTGGATGACACGCCAACCCAGCGAGTCTCATTTAAATGCAAATGTGTCACAAACTTCTGCATTGAGTCCTTTTAAAATGTATAAAATGCCTAGAAGAACATTCTAGATGGGATTGACACCCACAGTCAAACTTTAAAGAAGATTACGAAAATACAATCTTTCTCTCTTTCTTTTTTTGTTATTGTTTTTTTTTTTTAGCTGGAAGCTGAAGCTGTGCCTGAAGTATCTGAAAAATACGGAATTAGTTCTGTTCCAACATTCTTATTTTTTAAGGTAAGAGAAAATGGATTTAAGAGCAAATAGATTCCATGTGGACTCTTAATATGTATATACTTGTTTAATGCTGCTGCCAGAGGAGCAGAACCTTAAGAACTTCCTCAGTGAAGAAACGCTTATGTATCTGATTTAAGTTTATCCAGTGGAACCTCAGAAAGTAGCTAGACAGGATTCTTAGACTTTATGTATAATACTTCAGAGGTTCCCTAATTGCTTTGGGATTCTTAATGTGATTTAGTTTTAGCCGTCATACCTTGTGTTGAGTCAAAAACTTGTCAGTAATGCCTCTTTGTCTCACTAGAGTTCTACAGCATGGCAAAAAAAACAAGTAAATAATCTTCTGGTAGAAATGACAAGTCTGTTTGGGTTATGTCTGCCTGCGATAATCAAATATTTTCTTTAATAAGTTCTTCTAATAGCAAATTTGCTGGCATTAACAGTAACCAGCCAGCAGAATGGCATGAGTCCTGGAACTAAAGACAGGCTACAAGATCAATACACTAATCCACCCTGCATCTGAAAATCTATACTTTATATGGTGGTTTTACTATGTTTTTTATGACAGTACAAATTCTGAGTTAATCCTTTAACACGGGTGTTCTGGTTTCTATAGAACTCTCAGAAAGTCGACAGACTAGATGGTGCACATGCCCCAGAGCTGACCAAAAAAGTGCAGCGCCATGCCTCCAGCAGTTCTGTGTCTGCTGGCTCTAACGACAGCGCAAAAGAAGATCTTAACGCGCGTCTGAAGAGGCTCATCAATGCTGCCCCTTGCATGCTCTTCATGAAAGGGTCTCCGAAAGAACCTCGCTGTGGTAAGGGTTTTCTGAAGTTTGCGTGCCATGTGCCAGCACTCCCTTTGGGCTCCTTCTCAGCTTTACTCAGTTTTGGGGAGATACATCCCAGCAGTGCCTTGTACCCCTAGAAGCGTTAAGGAGAGTGGTTTTGTACTGCTTATGTGTAGCTAGGGAATTGCTGTTCCATTTTGGAGATGGAATCGCAGAGGTGAAGGGCTTTCTAAAGAACACGTGATGTGCAATGCTCTCCTTGAAGCAGGATGCTTTCCTTGAGGTGTTTATTCATGACATTTTGTGCATTGAGCTACACAGGTTGAGGATGTAAATAGTCTGAAGAGATCACTTCAACTGAAGGGCTAACAAGAGTTGACTAATATCAGGGATTGCTGTTGCCATTTGGAAAGAAAAAGTAAAACTATCCTAGCTGGTAAAATTGAGAAGTATCATGAGTTTGTGCTACAGTGGAAATGCCTTTTCTTAGCCCTTACCTGCTGTTTAGAGTGCTTGGTTCCTAGCTGACTGAAGTGTTGATCTACATGGAAAGTACACAGGCAAAGTTAAACCCCACCGTGCTTCAGCGCTGTGAAGCTGCCATCCTGGCTGTAGAAGTCATGAAGCAGTCCTTGAAAGAGCAGCAGTGGTTAGAGGATGTCAGACGCCTGTCGGTGTGGGCTGTGTGCCGCAGAGGGCAATCCTGCCTCGGCAGGGAGAGGAGTCTTGCAGCTTGGTCCAGGCTACTTTGGGTTGATGGAGCACTTGCTTCTGTGCAGCTTTTCTTACTGCCTCTGTCCTTAAAGCGTACTTTCAGCTTCTTTGAGAATATTTTATGCCATTTCACGATCTGTTTTTTCGGGTGTCGCTGTGAAAGGGTTATAAAAATACGAGGGGACTGAGGCATCCCATGCCCTGTTGGGCTTCTGCTCTGTCGGTAGCTGCACACCCTTTATTTTTTTCTTCTACTTTTCCCTTTCAAATTTCAAGGCGTTTCATTTCAGTGCATTAATAGGTTCCAGAATCACTTCAGTAGAAGCAGTTTCAGAAGCAACACCAGTGTCAGAACTGTCACGTGTGCTGTTCTGCTGCGTATTATGTAACAGTACAGTTAAGTGTGTGATTTTACGTGTTGTTGTAGGAGTTTATATGCTGTTCTGTAGGAATGGAAACTTTGGCTTGTTCTGAAGTAGGCCCATGAACTGCATCCTGTGATACCTGTGTGTAGCAGCACTGCTTTGATGGGCTCCTAATATTAGAGTGTGTTTGGGGTGTCTTCAGCTTAGGTTATCCAGATGTGTGTGCTTCAAATTGAACTGCGTTGGGTGCTACCGTGGCACTACCCGCAGTGAACCCGCTGTGCTGCCTCTGCGGGTGGCTGGGCAGGTGCTTGGCAGGCTGGGAGAGTAGAGCGAGGTTCTTCTGATGTCCGTGGTGAGATCAGGGGCGATGTGCAGGCAGAGCTGGGTTCCTCTGAACTGTCTGTGTGCCTGGGTTTTCCGTTAGGCCCCAGACAGCCTCTGTGTTGGTGTGATCAGTTGATGGCACAGGGAGGCTGTCTCTCCTTTGGGTTTCTGTGGGTGCATAGTGAGAGCTGGCTTCCTAAAGGCAGGCCCTTTACTGTTTTTCATGTGTTTGATGGGAGAGAATTGTGAAGCTGTTTAAAAAAACAAACCCAAACCATAGAAAAACCCAAACCAAAAAAGACGCTGAGGAGTGAAGGCTAAGGGTAGTTTGGTACTTTTTCATAAACTCAGTACGGAAAGACACTTAGGAGTATATCATGGGTATATTTTCACAATTTAAAAAAACAAACCCAAACCATATAAAAACCCAAACTAAAAAAAGATGCTGAGGCGTGAAGGCTAAGGATAGTTTGGTACTTCTTCATAAACTCAATATGGAAAGACACTTAAGAGTATATCATGGGTATATTTTCACACCTTAGTATGATGAAGTAGGTATTTATTCACACTTTCATTTCTTAATTTGATCCATGAAAAGTGCACAGGAGATACATACGTCTATTAAGGTAATTATTACAATTGTAAGTATTAAATTGTAGTGCAACACATCAGCTCCTAATTTTGCAGTTGAATACCGTGCCCGCTTTAGGCTGCTGTGGTAGTTTCTGGCAGTGGCTGGGAGATGTTTGTAAGTTGGGTCCATTAAACTTCCTAGAATGATGTCTTTGTCAAGGTGACAGTAACAATGTTTTGTCAGAGGTGGTATGGATCTGTTATAAGAGTAGTAGGAGTAATAACGGTAGAAAGCCAACTGTATCCTGGGCTGTATCAGGAGAAGTGGAGAGGGACGGGATTCTCCCCATCTGCTCTGCTCTTGTGTGACCCCACCTGGAGTGCTGCGTCCAGCTGTGGAGCCCTCAACACCGGAAGGATATAGACCGGTTGGAGCGAGTCCAGAGGAGGCCACGGAGATGCTCCGAGCGCGGGAGCCCCTCTGCCATGGGGACAGGCTGGGAGAGTTGGGGGGTTCAGCCTGGAGAAGAGAAGGCTCCGAGGAGACCTTACTGCAGCCTTCCAGTACCTGAAGGGGCTACAATGAAGCTGGGGGGGACTTTTTACAAGGGCCTGTAGTGATAGGACAAGGGGTAGCGGGTTTAAATTGAAAGAGGGGAGATTTAGATTAGATATCAGGAAGAAGGTCTTCCCGCAGAGGGTGGGAGCACTGGGACAGGTTCCCAGAGAAGCTGTGGATGCCCCATTCCTGGGAGTGTCCAAGGCCAGGCGGGATGAGTCTTGGAGCAACCTGGGCTATGGAAGGTGTCCCTGCCCATGGCAGGGGGGTTGGAACTAGATGGGCTTTAAGGTCCCTTCCAACCCAAACCATTCTATGATTCTGTGATGATAGAATGAAATAAAAGGAGCCATGCTTGTTTATAAGGGTGAGAATATTTCTGATTGGCATCTGTTTTGATACAAATAACAGACTTGTAGCGAGTCTGGAGTGCAGTTGGCAAGCAGAGGGAACCCTGTCCAGCAGTGTGTTTTGGGATCTTCTTGTATTTGTGATTTCCTTGTTGGAAGAGCCAGCTAAGCCTAGTGTAGTAAGGTTTGTCCCCTTGGCTGCATGTTTGCTGGCCGTTGTATGTGGTTGCTACGGGCATTGTGTTATTTTCAGTAGGTTCATTTGGACTGTACTGTGGGTGTAATTGTTTGCTTCATCAATACTGTGATGTATTTAGGTTGTTTTTCTGGTGTAGAATCTGGAGTGGCATTTGTGATCGCCTAGATTACCTCCTAAAAGGTTTTGTTTGCAGTTTAATTATTCCTTGTAATGTGTGTATGGCACTTCTTCAGAAATTCAACCTAAATATTTTGTTATGAAAGCAAAGCTGTTCTGGCACTTTATCCCTGAGCATAACACTTCCAGACTGCTACCGTAACCCTTCCGAATAAAGCACAACCAATCCATCTTCCTAGTTTGCATGTAATTGCCTACAGCTAAAATAAAGCTTCCCCCCCAAGTTCCTTACAGTAGAAATGAGTTAATATATTGGTGATGGAATAACCATCAGCAATCAGCCTTTAGCTGTTTACTAATGAACTCCCAGATGCATGAAGAATTTCAGAGTTGGTGTTTTACTTCAGGCTGTACATGAACTTAACACTTCAGTTGTAGAAAGAAAAGCAACCGGTGCCGTACATATAAATACTGTTACTTCATATTCCAGTATATTGCCCATCATGAAAACTGCAGACAGCGGCAGTAAAATCCATATTTCAAAACCCAATAGGTGGCCTTGCAGGCTGAACTCAAAGGCTGTTCCTCTCTGGCACTTTGATTCTTTTCCCCATTTAAAGCTGCTTTATTTTTCTATTGTATTAAAACCTTAAGCATTGTCTTTTTGCTTTTATTTTAATGTTTGTGTAGAGGTTTTAATTTGTCTGCACAGCACTTGTTGGGATTTTTTGAGGGTATTGGTAGGATTGTGAGTGCATTTGAATCCAAAACAGAACGAGTTGGCAAAGATAGAAAACGCACATTATCACCACACTGATTTAGGGACAAATTCTCATGGATCCTTTTTGCAGACCATGTCATAGTGTTACCTAGGAGGCCTCTGCTTCCTTAGAAGGGATGTGCATGAAAGCAACAGCAGCAGGTGTTGGAATACTTTTTGGGATAAAGACTGTGTGTTAGCAATAAAACAAAAATTCCAAGGCTGGGTGGAGAATGTATTGGAA